TTCTGAAAAGCATCTGCTACACATACGATATGGAGAATCTAGCCTTGGTTGATTAACATTGAGAAACTCCAGCAGAAGTCCCGGAATTTGAGGGGCTTCCGCCTTCTATGGGGGAAAGGCTAAAATTGATCATGAAAAAAGGGAACCAAGAGCAGCCATGGAAACAGCCATTAGAAAACCTTAAGAAAATGTCATTTGGAAGCAACAGCATGCCATTGAGAACTGCTGTATTTAGCAGACCCACCAAATGTCCCCATTTTCCAGGGACAGCCCCCGATTTATTTTCATCAGAGAAATATTGGGAGGGTATGGAGCGTCCCAGGAACCAAATAACACTGAAAAAAGCACCAGCACTATATTCTGCTATGTTTCCAGAAGTGGCATTTACGTTATGTGAAAGCTCAGATATAATGCAGAAATTAGCAGTTAGGGAAAAGTCTGGAAAAAGGAATGAGCTGCCACATGAATGGAGTCTATGTTTGCAACCTCTTTGTAGATTCTGCCCTTTTTATCGCTTCCTGAACAACATAGCAGAAGGGTTAATGATGAACTGCACCCCAATTAGTCACCTTTTGTTCTCCCTATGCGGGAGAGCAAGTTCAATTACTGGTTTACATTACTTTTCTTTCTTTTATTGTGAAAAACTGCTATTTTGCTATAGAATAAGCAAAAGGGCAGGGAAAGGAAAGGAAACCTCTGTTTAATTCATTTTCCTTTCCCCTTAAAAAACCCCCACTATGCCAGGAGTTGACTTTACAAGTCTTTAATCTTCAGAGGCAGACTGAATAGGGGGCAGAGCCTGCAAGGAAAATAATTTTAATTAAAGTCACAGTACAGTGGTACCTCGGGTTAAGAACTTAATTCATTCTGGAGGTCCGTTCTTATCCTGAAACTGTTCTTAACTTGAAGCACCACTTTAGCTAATGGGGCCTCCCGCTGCTGCTGGGCCGCCGGAGCGCAATTTCTGTTCTCATCCTGAAGCAAAGTTCTTAATCCAAGGTCCTATTTCTGGGTTAGCGGAGTCTGTAACCTGAAGCATCTGTAACCTGAAGCGTATGTAACCTGAGGTACCACTGTAGTTCTTAGAAGCCTTAATGGCACTTGTCTGCCCCTGGAAAGGCTGGCACCATAACAGCAGTTTTTTGGGGGGTTGGGGTGGGATCACCAGAAAGTGAGTCTAAACATAAACATGGAAGAAAGTGCAGAGAACAGTTGAATGCAACCATTTGGTACTGTCATCCAGATTCTCCATAGAAAAGTATGTGACCAGATCTGTCAAGTCTAGATAAAGCTAGTTTTAGACCCAGTGATATGTCTGTTGATTTATATTAAAGACAGTGAAAAACAAATACAAATACAGTAACAAGAAAGGAGATTCCGAGGGAACATCAGGAAGAACTTTCTGGCTGCAAGAGCTGTTTGACAGCGGAACGGTCTCGTCCGGGAGGTTGTGGACTCGCCTTCCTTGAAGGTTTTAAAGCAGAGATTCGATGGCCATCTGTCATGTACGATTTAGCTGAGATTCTAGCATTGCAGGACATTGGATTGGATGACCCCCAGGGTCCTTTCCAACTCTACAATTTTATGATTCTGAAAACTCTCATTGTGACAAGTGTTTTTATATGCAAAAAACGTGGGGAAATCCTCAAAAGGGGACCTATTGCAAAAATATTTAAATGATTGAATTGACAGCTATGTTGAAGGACACTATAATAACAGCAACCCACATCCTTGCAGAACTGGATTGCTGCAACTTAACATAGTAGATGGAAGTTATATTTTGAAGAACAGAGGTAGAATCTATATCCCTATGAATTATATGGATAGGTGGCATAAAAGATAATAATGATAATGCACAGGTAAAAACTAGATTTTGAATTAATATGTGACTTGTGTATTTTGTATCTGTTTACCCCAAGTCAATCAATGAGATCACCTTGGGGAACATCAGAAGCAGGATTTATGTCAAGAACATGTCTTCAGTTTTGTTGGTCCAAATCTTTAGATCTCCATCCCATTAGAAGTCACAAGTGCTTATCTGATGTTTTATAATTCTTTCATGTTCTTGGTAAAAATTTCTGAGATTTTAAATTTATGGGGTTATATATATATATGTTAGTTTAAATTTATGTTTGTAATTTTGCATATTGTATATTGACGCGGGTGGCGCTGTGGGTTAAACCACAGAGCCTAGGACTTGCCAATCAGGTCAGCGGTTTGAATCCTCGTGACGGGGTGAGCTCCCGTTGCTTGGTCCCTGCTCCTGCCAACCTAGCAGTTCAAAAGCACGTCAAAGTGCAAGTAGATGAATAGGTACCGCTCTGGTGGGAAGGTAAACGGCGTTTCCGTGCGCTGCTCTGGTTCGCCAGAAGCGGCTTAGTCATGCTGGCCACATGACCCGGAAGCTGTACGCTGGCTCCCTCAGCCAATAAAGCGAGATGAGCGCCGCAACCCCAGAGTCGGTCACAACTGGACCTAATAGTCAGGGGTCCCTTTACCTTTATATTGATATTGCAGGAAGCCACTCTGAGATCTAAATCATGAAAAGGGATGTGGTTTTAACATATGTTGCAATAATTTACAAATAATCATGTGAGGGATAGAAGCATGGTGGTTCTGAGAGATAAAGTTGACGTTGAAACAACTGCTGTGCTTCAAGGGTCACCTATAAATCTCCAGCCTTTGATAACATGGACATCCCAATGTAACTTAGAAAATCCAGAATCTCGTGTGACACTTAGAAAGAAGATGGCCAGCCTCTTGGGGTCTCCTCCATTCTTCCTCAAGGGCTGGAAGTATATCTTGCCACAACAGCCAAACACCTCGCCGAGAGTCAAGCTGTAGAATCATAGAGTTGCAGAGTTGGAAGGGATCCCAGGGGTCCTCTAGTCCAAACCTGTCGATAATAAATTGATGCCATCTAACATTAGCAAACTGGGGACATGGGTGGCGCTGTGGTCTAAACCACTGAGCCTCTTGGGCTTGCCGATCAGAAGGTCGGCGGTTCGAATCCTCGCGACGGGGTGAGCTCCCGTCGCTCGGCCCCAGCTCCTGACAACCTAGCAGTTCGAAAGCCCGTCAAAGTGCAAGTAGATAAATAGGTACCACTCCGGCGGGAAGGTAAATGGCATTTCCGTGCGCTGCTCTGGTTCACCAGAAGCGGCTTAGTCATGCTGGCCACATGACCTGGAAAAACTGTCTGCGGACAAACGTCGGCTCCCTCGGCCAGTAAAGTGAGATGAGCGCCGCAACCCCAGAGTCGTCTGCGACTGGACTTAACTGTCGGGGTCCTTTACCTTTTTTTAGCATTAGCAGATTCACAATAATGGGTCACAATCGCTGAGACAGTGTCACTGCATCACATCTGAAATCAAAGATTGAAAAATGGAGCCTCTCTTTTTTCTTACAACTTGGAAAAAAAAGGTTCATTTTCCATAAAAATGGAACCGGGAGGAACCTTTTTTTTTTAAAAAAAGCACATCTCGATTTAAATTTGGTTGGGTCACCAGCCAGGGGCTGGATAAAACTGCTTCAGGAGCAGCGCTGGCCGGCTAACCGTTATCAGATGTTTTAATCTGCACATCCCTTTTACACTGCAAAGCAAGAAGCATGTTGAATGTCAGCAGACAATTTGGAACCCCCCCCTCCCCAACCAGGTAGCGCATACTCAGGGCTCCATGCTGTTTTTCTCTCTTGTTCCCCGGACCAAAGCAGCTTCTGCTCCTTCTCAACTGCGGACAAGGAAGGAAAGCAGCCTGCGGAGTCATTTCCTGTCTGGAAAGACCTGGCCTAGTAGTGGGAGATCAATCCTTGCTTGGAAACAAGAGGAAAAGTAAAGGATGCTTTCTGACGGGCGTGTATATGAAAGCGGCTGTTGGAGCCAGTGGTCGATACAGACAAGAACATCCCCTTTGATAAGGTAACCAGCACTTTGTAACGGTAAAGCCAGAATTAATGACCAGCGCTCCATGAGGATCTGATTGGAAGTGCTTGGAGATTCCTTACCGTTCCTCGTTAGTCAGATGGAGATTTTGCCCCCACCCCCCAAAATTTGATCCCACAGAAGCAAGGGAGTTTCCGATTCATCACATTCCCCACAGGACTGTCAACGCCATTCAGCCACCATGACAGACTTCCAATTCCTTTTCAACTCATCTTTGGTTGCAAGATTTTTATTTTGTTTTTGTTTTTTTAATTTAAAAAAAAGACAGGAAAAAAGAAAACACAAACCACGACAGAACCAAATAAAATAACAAATAAAAAAAATCACTCAGAATATTTGTTACATTATCATCATCATCATCATCATTATTAATTTTTTTTTCAAGTCACTTCTAAGCCCCACAGTTACAAATAAATTAACGAGACAGGATCAGACCCCGGAAGATTTAAAAATTAAAATAAAAATAAAAATTGAATACTAGGAACTAACTACCTTTGGCAAAGTTATCACACGATTTTTCCACTGCTCCCGGGTTGGCTACAGCAACAGGCCAGTCTTGTTGGGGTGGTGGTGGTAAGGGAGTCGGGGGCTGGAGCAGCATCCCTCATGCAAAGGTCAGCCCATTTGACCCACTCTTCCAGGGCTATCAAAATGTGACAGACACCCTCCCTGGTGTAGAAGCGCCTCATGAGGTTCCCTTCTCTCGTGACCCAGGTACGGGCCACCGAGGACCTAACAAGCACCCAGGAGAAGAAGTCAGGAGGACAGGATGGGAGAGATGCTCTATGGAGCCTTCAGTGGGATCTACGGTCAAGAATTTGGATGTCGGATGGCGCCCGAGTGGAGGTTCTGGCACCAGAGCTGTCCTGCAATTAACCCCGTTATATTAGGGCAGAACCCGCTTTATGTAAACAAGACCCACTGAGATTCATCTAGCCCCTACAACGATTCCGACACCTCTTCTACCCAAGCGGCCGAGTCTCCTCTTCCAACACAGTGGGAAAAGAGTCTCCGTAAAAGGACACCAAGGTTTTAAGGGAATGGATCGCCTTTTGGGGGGGCCTGGCCGTCCTCCTGATTTCCCTCCTGGGGGTGGGAGAGGATGCTGCCCCTGATCCCCACCGCCCCAAACAGACCCGTCCGGCACACACCCTTAATAAAGCTTTTCTATTTGGTTTATCATTAAAGTATATGAGGTATATGGCGGGCTATCTCCAAAGAGCCTTATGGTGGGTGTCTTGGCACTATGAGGGGAGGGAGGGGGTCTAGCCTGCCCCCCTCCCTTGTGCCCCCCCAACCCTGGGTCGGGCACCGGCACGGAGGCGTGTGAGCAAATATTTGGTTTTACAGCTGTACTTTAAAGCTTGTTTCCTTCCTCGTTCTGAAACTCCTAGGAGCGCGGGAGGTTGGCGGAACAAAGAGATGTGGCGGCTTTTCATAGAGGGCAGCCTGGCATCTCACGCCTGTTTTCTCTTACCAGCCATTGGGGGGGGGGGTATGTGGACTAGAGAGGCAAGGATGGCTACGGAGACAGCGAAGCATCCTGCCCCACAAGACCAGTGGCCAAATCTGAAAATGAATCCCAGGTAGTCCTGCTCTGGACCAACCAAAACAAAATTTTCCTCCCCAAGCTAGCGATAACTCTGCCTCGTTTACAGTCTCCAATTTGGGGGTGAGGGAGAGAGGGAAGAAGTGGGGGTACCCCTCTGGCTTGAGTCCGCAGTTGCAAAATTCACAACCTCCCATATATCCAACTCCTAAAACTGGAGAGAGCCGGTCGTCGTTGTTGTTTTTAAAAAAAGAGTTGAAAGTGATTTGAGACAGGCAACATCACTCTGTTTCACTTGCCCCACTATTGCCTCTGGTCAAACAGCCGGCTGGTTTTTGAAGGCAGAGAGAGGGAAGAATGCCCACATCACCACTCGTCATTCCCCTTTCAACTCTCTGAAAAAGGAAACGCCTCTCTCCAGGTTCTAAGCAACCTTTCCAACTTTCCATCACCCTTTGCTTGCCCTATATATCTTGGCTGTTTCCCCTCCATGCCATTCACCCACCACTCAGCTCCGCACATGGAGATAGGGTCATTTTTGGTCTAGAATCAATTTTTTTAAAAAAACACGTTTTGGTTTTTGTTTCTTTTTTTGTTGATTTTTTGTTTAGTTTTTTTCCCTTTTTATCTTTTTTGTTGCAAACCTTTAGCGTTTGTTTGTTTTTTTGTCTTTTTTTTAATACAGTAAGAAGCGATAAAGCGGAACATAGAATTTTCTCTATAAAAAAAAAATAGAAGATACCCCCCAAAAGAATTTTTTTCCCCAAAAAAGAAAAAAAGAAAGAAAAAGAGTAACAAATATCACTAAAACAGTTACATTCCACCTAGTAACACGTTCAGTAGCACATGAGAGAGAGAGAGAGAAATTGGACTCCCCAAATGTTTTTCCTTCTTTTTTCCCCAGATGTCCACCATAATAGCATGATTGGAATCTTAAAAGAGACAGATAAATACTCGCCGGTTCTCTCTCACTCACGCACATAATGGGATGAAAAACCTTTTTTTCAAGTCTTTTAAAACTAGGTGTTTCCTGTTTTTTGTTTGTTTGTTTCATTTTTGGAAAGTTTCACAGTATTTTTTTTCTTTTGTTATCTCAAACCCACCTGAACGCTATAACACAGCAAAAGCAGGAGATAAAATGAGGTCGAGGGTTTTTTTTTCCCTTTAAGAAAGGTTTCAAAGTTCTTTTTTTTTGTTTGTTTGCTTGTTTATCTGTTTTCCGCTCTGTCCTTTTGTTTGGTTTTTTATTTTCTACCAGATCGCAGTATGCCATGGCTAACTTCCTTCTCTGCAACAGCAAGACTTTGGTTCGCAGGAGTTGAAAGTAAAAGACGAACATTCAAAGAGCCCCCAAAACATTGACTAAAAAAAACACACCCCTCAAACACATTTAGAAATAAAATCCCATACCAACCAGTTTTTTAAAAAATAAAATAAAGGAAACAAACAAAAAATGTACAAAATAAAAGTTTAAAAACAAAAAAACAAAAAGAGCGTTTTGAGAAGCCATTTTTAAAGCTTTCTAGACTTCTGGGAGGAAGTTTCAGGATCCTCTGATCTCACCCTCCCAACTTCCATTGATTTGGTTTGTTTTACTTTTATTTATTTTGTCTCTTTGCCACTTATAAAATCTTGGCTTCTCAACGCACCTTTCCATGAGGTATTTTTTTTTTCAGGACAGAGAAAGACGGTTGAGCCATTTGTCTAACCAGAGAAAGTAAAGATTTCCCATTTATTCCCATGTATTTTTTTCATCCTTTCTTCTTCAATTAAAAGTTTTTTGTGTGGTGGGGTTTTTTTTTGTACGCTTCCTTTGTTCACTTGGTTGCTTCTTTTTGGTTAAAAGTTTTGTCTCTCGCCTCCGAGTCTCTGTGAGCCACATAAAAGGGGGGATTTTTATCCCTCTTCTGTGGTTTCATTTTTATTCCCCAGTGGTCTTCATCTTGTTGTTTTCTGTAGTGATGTCTATCAATTTTTGGTTTTTTTCTGGAAAATGTAAAGAATGCTGAAATTCCCGTTTTTTTTGTTTTGTTTTGGTTTTTGTCAGGCACTGGAATATGAGTATTATTATTTTTTTCAGAACACAGATATAAAAATAAAAAGAATAAGAATAAAAATTACACATCCCCTGTTTTCAGAAAAATAACCCCTGATACTAACCCCAGGCAAAAATCAATTTAGAAAAGAAAAGCTACAGAAAAATTGAACACTGGCGAAAGAAAGAAAAAGCCGATAAAACAAAACGTACACGTTTAGTGCTGCCCATCCTGAAACAGTTGAAGGCTGAGACTTTCAATAAGGCTTCCTGTCTTGCAAAGACATGAGTATTTACATTTTGTACCCTGTGAGTAACCCAGGTGTTACTAATAAGCTTACTCCTGAATGGATGCAATTAATTCCGTCCTCAGTGGGGTAACAGGGAGAGGGCTCCTCCATCTGCATTCGATACACTAGATCAGGATGGGGAAACTGTGGCCTTTCAAATGTTCCTGGACTCCAGCTCCAGCAAGCATGGCCAATGCTCAGGGATGATGGGAGATGTAGTACAGCAAACCTCTGAAGGGGCACAGAGTTCTCACCCAGGCACTAGATACTCTGGCCTTATGATGAATCAGAATCAGAGGTAAGGAACTAGACAGGGAAAAGTTTCCCCACCACCAGCAGCTCTCCTTTCAAGCCAGAAATGGCTATATATATAGGAATGCATTGGCAAGCAAGCTGGTCCAAGGATGCTGTGGTCTAGAGGTTCTTGGGTGTGTTTTTTTAGTTCATTGCAAGGCTGAGTCAGGTAGAAGCAGAGATGCAAAATAATAATAATCATTGCAGGACATCAGTTAGGAAACCATCATGGGAAGTTGGTACCTAATTCTCATTATTGCCTTTTGAAAGTCCTAGCCTTCGTATCTCATGAGAATCCCTCTAAACTATAAAGTTTGTTCCAAAAAACAGAGCAGAAAAGGATACTATTTTAGCATTTTAAAAAGGAAAAGGAAAATATTTATAGCAAGATCCTGAAATCAAACCAATATACCCCCACCCTGTCCAACCCTTTCTGGATCCCAAAGAAAAGTAAAAGAATAAATAAGAATAAATAAGAGTTTTGAAAGACATTCGACCAGACACAGAAGTTAGAAAAGTCTGTAAAAAGCTTTGGGTGAAGCTAGGACTGGTGATTTTTGGTGTGAGATTCATTTTCCCCTTAAGGATTTTAAATGTGTTTTTTCTTTTTTTCTTTTTCTTACAAAAAAAAAAAAAAAAAAAGAACAACCGATCCCCATTTATTTGTTTCCTTTCTGAAACTGTCCAGGAAACTAGCGAATAAGAAATAAAGAGAAATCAATGAAAATAATTCAAGCAAACAATTGACAAAGTCACCTTTTGCAAGGCATTTTGTCCTGAACATCGGAGGGGAAAAAGAAAAAAGGAAAAAAAATAAACGCTAAAAGTTTGGGGAATTCTTTTTGGTTTCTTCCTTTGTCCCTTTTTGCTTTGCTTGTTTGGTTGCTTTGGGTTATTTTTTGGTTGGTTTTTCGTTTGGCTGTTGCTGACAATTCTTTGTTTGGTTTCTTTTTTTTGGTTTCACTCGTCGGTTTGTACGTCCGCTCCTTACTACCCCCACGTGTCGAGAAGGCGGGGAGGATGCTCCCCCCTCAGCCCTCATTCCGTCTTGGCATCCGGCTCGGTGGATCCGGGACCAGCCTGCCCCAGAGTCTGCGCCACTTCGCTGGAGGAGCTGCATGAGGAACAGGAGGAGGAGGAAGAGGAGGAAGAAGAGGAGGAGGTCAGGGTGGGCGACTTGCTGGGCATGGAGGCAGCCACTGCAGCCGCCGCCGCCGACACCAGCCCCACGCCTCCCGGGGCAGCACTCAGCAAGGGCAGGCCTGCATGGTTGAGGAAGAGCGACGAAGTCACGATGCTCTGGCTTCCAGTCGTGCCTCCGCTGGTACTGAAGACCAAGTTACCACTGGCATCAAGGCTGGTAATTGGCAGGCTTCCACCACTGGCCAATGCTGCAAAGGAGGAGGGGGGAAAGAACAGCAGTTAGGGCGCATGTGCGCCAGCATGATGTCAGTAGCTTCTGGTCACAGAATCGTTGAAACGTAGAAGCGTAGAGTTGGAAGGGACCACGGGGGTCATCTAGTCCAACCCCCTTGAAATATACTCGGAGGTTGCGGATTCACTTCCACCTGGAGCTGGATTGGGTGCCTCCTGTGGACCAATCAGACTGCTGCATTTGGAATCCTATTGTTCTAGGACCAATCAGACTGCTGCATTCTGAATCCTATTGTTCTAAGACCAGTCAGACTGCAGCATTCTGAATCCTATTGTTCTAGGACCAATCAGACTGCTGCATTCTGAATCCTATTGTTCTAGGACCAGTCAGACTGCTGCATTCTGAATCCTATTGTTCTAAGACCAGTCAGACTGCAGCATTCTGAATCCTATTGTTCTAGGACCAATCAGACTGCTGCATTCTGAATCCTATTGTTCTAGGACCAATCAGACTGCTGCATTCTGAATCCTATTGTTCTAGGACCAATCAGACTGCTGCATTCTGAATCCTATTGTTCTAAGACCAGTCAGACTGCAGCATTCTGAATCCTATTGTTCTAGGACCAGTCAGACTGCTGTATTCTGAATCCTATTGTTCTAGGACCAATCAGACTGCTGCATTCTGAATCCTATTGTTCTAGGACCAATCAGACTGCTGCATTCTGAATCCTATTGTTCTAGGACCAATCAGACTGCTGCATTCTGAATCCTATTGTTCTAGGACCAATTAGACTGCTGCATTCTGAATCCTATTGTTCTAGGACCAGTCAGACTGCTGCATTCTGAATCCTATTGTTCTAGGACCAATCAGACTGCTGCATTCTGAATCCTATTGTTCTAGGACCAATTAGACTGCTGCATTCTGAATCCTATTGTTCTAGGACCAATCAGACTGCTGCATTCTGAATCCTATTGTTCTAGGACCAATTAGACTGCTGCATTCTGAATCCTATTGTTCTAGGACCAATCAGACTGCTGCCTTTTGGATCCTATTCAACTCAGTACATAACACCCCTGCAATGCAAGACTCTTTTGCCCAACGTGGGGCTCGAACCCACGACCCTGAGACTAAGGGTCTCCTGTTCTTCCGACTGAGCTATCCCAGCCTTCAGCCTGCAATGGGCCCAGAGGAACTGCATTAGCGCTGTGGCTCTCCTCTTGATGTGTTGATGCGGGGGTCATCTTTTCTCAGGAGCCTCCGAGGCCCCCTACCATGACAAAATGGCAGCAGTACATTTCAGCACAGCCGCCGTTCAAACGACACCTGCTCCCAACCACAGCTCCACATCGCCGTCTCCCTCCCCCAGCACGTTTCACATAGAAAAGGACACATGGTGTGTGGCGAGAAGGGTGAGCACAGATGATTAGCAGGTGCAATGTTACAGACGGATGTTATGAAGTAGGATGCTTTCTACCATAGGTAAGCTAAGGGATGGGATGGAGAAGAGACCTCAACAGGAATGAGAGGAGGTTCTGAAGGACTCCACTGACCTGTTGCACTCATGCATCTGCACGACATTTGCACAGCAGCTCACAAACACTTTCACCTAGACTCAAATGTTTCGTGCTTGAAACCATAGAGGGGGAGGTGTTTTAAAGACAGGCCTGCACATGGGGATGGTCCCTAACTCAGTGGTAGAACTCATGCCTTGCCTACAGAAGGACACAGTTTCAATGCTCTGCATCTCCATCTAAAAGGATCTCAGGGTTGAAAGAACCCTGTTTGAATCCCATAGGAGCTGCTGTTGAATAGACAACCCTGGGCTAGACAGACCAGGGGTTTGATTCAGGGCAAGACAGCTTTATCTGCTCAATCTGTGACCCATCAAGGCAAAACACAGGCACACCAGTGATGCGCCATGGGCTTGACAATCCCATTTTTGTAGTTCTAAGCAGGTATTAAAAACTGGTTTCAATGAGTCTCTGATAAGCCATCGTGCATGACTGCATTGGGCATGGTGGGTAACCAGTTGTACAGGCGGGTATTAGGGACTTCTACAAGTGTGATTTCTGGCTGGTCACTGTGGGGAACAGGATGCTGGACTTCAGCCTCGGACACAGAGTTTTACATCACAGACCCTGTGCCATATGATGACCTCAGTGAGCAGACAAGGCGGGTAAACTGAAAGAAGTGGGCAGAGAAATTCATGCTTGGCTCAATGCTGCCACCTGTTGAGAATAGGAATGAGTGAATATGTCAGTTTCTCTGTCTCTCATTTCCCCAATCTTAAATTCAGATCTCCACATTAGTTTGTGATTTATTTTTTTTAAATCCTCATGAAAATTCACCAATGTTTTAGTGTGAATTTCTCCTAATAAGTAATCAGTTTTGAAGAATGGCTGTGTTTCGGGTTTATGTATTCCTTCTGTGTGTATATGTTCGCTTACACACACTTTTTGCTTCTCTCTCTCTCTCTCTCTCTCTCTCTCTCTCTCTCTCACACACACACACACACACACACACAGTCTTGTACAGACAGGCCAGTGGAGTAAATGGCAGTGATGACATCATGTCTGATCTTCTTTTTCACAAACCTTGTATGGTGGCCAGCGGGTTGGTGGCCATTAGCGCTGGGTTTAACCCTGCATTCACCCCTAGCACTGTGCTTCTGAAATCAAACCAGAGGCGGCAGGTTAAAGTTGGGGATCTACAGTGCAAACACTAGAGTGCCCCCCCCATCACCTGTTCAAAATGGGTCCAGAAGGTAGCTTAAAATGACGTGTGGGACATTGTTTTATGGAGAATCTATTATTTCAGGCGAGTTCTAATTCCCGTACTGTTTGGGTTCTGTCCCCCAAGGCCCCCTAATGGTGTGAGCCTAGTCAGGATCAAACCTCTTCTCCCACAGTCCAACCATTGAGGAAGCTGAACCCGCCCACAAAGACCTTTCTCTCCCACGCCACTTACCCCGTACTGGGATTCAGGCCTTGCAAGCTGATAGCTGGGTGACTGCTGCTCTGGGGGCTGGGGTTTGTGCTGTTGCTTGGGGGTGGCGTGACCGAGTTGAGGGTGGTGCCCCCTGCTCCCACCGCTGTCCGACTGGGGGTCAGGGAGCAGACTGTGGGGGACAAGGTAGTAACTGTCCAAAAGAAGAGCAAAGAAAGTGAAGGAGAGTTGCCAAGGCTGGTGGTCAGAAGCGGGAGCCCACAGGCATGGTAGCCAACCATTATTGGGAGCTGCACCAACTCTGCCTCTCCCCCCAGAGAGGGCATCCTCCTAACAGCATGCTGAACTTCAGAGGCACCCAGAAGTGCAAGATCTCTACATGTTTCCAAGTTCCTCTGAAGCTCAGTGTGACAGCTCATTCCCTGAATGTTCAGAGTCAAGACAAAACTAAGTACCGGTACATCTTTGCAGAGCACGTAATTAAAATTTAGATCTTGCTACTGCTGGATACAGTGAGGCGTGGGGCGAAACTGCCGCAGCTCTCACCACGGGAGCAGGGATGCTTTCACCTCAGCGCCTCGCAAGCCGTGACAACTTGTTTGTGAGGCTTTTTTGCGAGGCTCAGCTGGGGGGTGGTGGGAAAGCTCCCCCCCCAGCTGAGCATTAAACTGCTCCTGCCCCCCCCCAGCTGAGCAAGCCCTATGCTTCTCCAGCTTGTGCGCAAAGCATCGGGGCTCGCTCAGCTGGGGACAGGTTTAAAGAAGCCAAGGGAAGAACAAGCTGTATTGGCCTCGCAATACAGCTCACTGCTCCCTCTGTGGTATGAAAGGTGGAGTGATAGCAGCTTCACCTGGCAGTATATTGCAGGTGAAACCGCCGTAGCTCCTGAGTCCCTCTGCTACCAGCGGCCCAATGTTGAAAGTGGCACTGGTAGAAGAGGGATTCAGGAGCGGCATCCGTTTCACCTGCGATATACCACTGGGTGAAGCCACCTTCGTGGTCTGCCCCCATACCAGTCCTGGGTGATGTATTGATATTTCACTCAGGACTAATGATGACCGCATACTAACTCCAGTACTGAAGGCAGTATACCTCTGAATCACAAATGGGGAGTAGTGCTGTTGCACTCAGGTCCTGCCCTAAGCCAACAACTCCATAGATTGTTTCCCACTGGAGGAAGAGAAGAGTAAAGCAGGAAAGTTCAAGCTGCGTGTAATTTGTATAATCATGGTCTGTGGCTTAGGACTTATACACACTTTCCACGCACAGTCCGCACTTTAAAACTCTGTGTCCAAGCACGCGCACACACCCTTTTTTTTGCTGCAAAGCTTTTTCTGCAAAAACCTGCTCTTTAATGCTCAATCGGAGTAAATGTAAATCTGCAGAAAACCCAAATTGATGTTTGCTTTAGAAAAGTGCTAAAGAGCAGGTTTTTGCAGAGAAAGATCCAGAGGCACTGACCTTTTAAGCAGAGACCTGCGTCTGCAAAGAGCGGGGCAAAAGGGAAGTGTGAATAAGCCCTCTGAGTTTCATTCAAATAGTTGGACGGTTTCTCCAAAACAGCTTTTCCCTCTGCAGAATGCCAGATGAGAATTTGCAGGGGTAAACACATTGGGAGCGCTATAGAGAGCTAAGCCAGCTAAGCGCATATGCTTTTGAGCATAAAAATAACCATCACACAAATAGTTAAGATCCTCCTTGTCACATGTCATTTGTCTGCCCAAAACTGCAGCCTCCTAAGAATGTTTTTCATTAAAAGAAAAAAAATGTTATTGTTGGATGTTAGTTGCGCATATTCATGCGCTAACACATCATTGAATATATCAGCACTAGCTCAGGTTGGACAGTTTCACATTGGTTTTATGCTGTGGTGTAACCAGACAATACAACTGCCATCACCTGCTGATGGAACATTGGAGCATCACCCCAGAATCCAGGCTGCAGATCTCACCAAGTTCAACATAGTTCCTATGTCTGCATCTGCCATAGCATTGCCCAATTCTCAGGCAATTTCCCAGTGTGTGGGGTACATGGTAGCAGCAGAGGGAGCAAAGCACAACCTTTTTGTGCTCTTTTTGGCCTCACTAGCACTCCAAGTCTTGCTTCCAAGTCCCCTTAAGCATGTAGCAAGAAGTTAAGTTTTGCAGAGCTAAAAGGAGAGCACAAGAGTGTTGCACTGTTTCCACACCAGGTATGGGACTGGGACAACTAGTCCCATCATCTCAAGTGAGTAATATGTGCATAGCAGCATTTTCTTACCTGGTAGTCCCAGTCCTTCCCTGGCATGGAAACATGCTCTCCTGAGGCCTCTGGAGCACCTGCTGCCTTCTCTGCCATTGCCACCTCTTGCTGTGCCAAGGTAAGATATACAGGTCAGGGCTGGGGAAGGAGGTGGCAATGGAGGCAGCAGGTCCTTTGAATGACTGTAAGCATTTTGCAAGTGCCGAGAGTGGGTCCTCAAAAGCGCTTGGGCCTTTGGAAGTCTAACATCAGGGTGCATTCTCATTCATAACCCAACAGGCTGCTCTTGTGTCATTCCCACAACCTCAATACCTTGAGCTCTCAGCAGCCCACCACTGGACAGCTGTGCTAGAAGGAGGCAAAGGAAAGGGGGTCCCAGGGAGAAGGGAATGTGCCACCAAAAGACAACTACCTGTTGTGCTCAGACTACTGGAAGCCTGGGAGAGGGGCAGACTTGTGCCGGTGCCTGGGCTGGTCACCTGGAGGAGATGCAGCAGAGAAACGGACTGTCAGAGACACAATGGATAAAATCCACATAAAGACCTTTCTCCCCTGACTGGGGATCATATCTAAGATGCTGCTAGCATACTAGGTTGGGGCGACACCCATGAACGATTTAAGTATGCTAGACACAAATTCTGTAATGTGAGCAATAGGAATGTACATTATTTGAGGAAGTTAAGGTTAAAAGCCTAAGGACCTGGAAAGTTTGTACCATGTATGGTTTTATCAAATGGGGTGGTAAGTGGATTGCTAAATGCAAGCTCAGTGAAGTTGCAGCGAAAGAAGATCAGGTAGGTAGGCAGAGTTTTGTATGAGCACAATATATGCATCATGTAAAAGGATATATCAAGGAAGGAAGCTTTGTATCATATGGGGGGGGGGCAAGTAATGTAGGCATTGTCCATTGGGGGAAGGAGTGGGGGTGGGGTTCACACTCCAAACTGTGAAGCTAAGTGTATGATTAAATGTGCAGTGCAGAGGAAAATAATACATGTATGTATTAAATTTTATTCATTTTTATTTATTAAATGTCTATTCTCTGAAAGGAGCCCAGGGCAGCAAATTCAGAAAAAGTAGCACTATTAAGGCATCTTAGAAATAATCCTGACACATATGCAGACTTGGATAAAGGCCACTAATTAAAAGACTTGCTGGAAGAGGAAAGTCTTCAGCAGGTGCCAAAAAGACAAACAGAGCTAGCACCTGTCCAATATTTAACAGGTAGGCACCACAACACCTGTTACTATTATTTTAGCACATCACTGGTTTAAATTTTTTGAAAGTTTTAAACAGTCGCTTTTATCTTTTTTAAAAGCGATAAACTTTATTGCTTTTTTGTAAAGTGCTTTGAGGGGTACAAAAAAACAAAACAAAAAAACCCTAGCATATAATTTTTCTGAAATAAATAAGCTCTAAAGGCCAAATTCAACTATTGCGCAGAATGGACACCCTGATAAGATGGTATCTGCAAGAGGCCCTCACCTGCACAGCACAGAAGGCATGTTCCATACAGGTATATTCCATGGAGTTTTGTGCCGGGGGGGCGGGGGGGGGAGTGAACGTGTGTAGGAACGTACCATGTGAGGGCTGTAGCCAGGAGGCTTGCCCTGGGCAGGCAACATGGGAGCAGAGCTGCAAGGGTTAATCCGCTTCTCTTTCTGGCGGCGGTTGCAGAACCAGACGCGAATCACCTCCTTCTCCATGTTCAGTTGCTCGGCAATAAGTAGGATCTCCTCTGAGGTAGGCTTCTGGTTCTGCAGTTTGGGGGAAGGTGTTGGAAACAGGATGGTGTGACATTGGGGCAAGTCATGGCATAGATTCCCAACAGGAACACAAAACAAATCATAGAAACATGTAGGGGACTGTTCTACTCATTCTAAAGAACGTTAGATCTGCTGCCAAACTATCACGTGAACCTGAAATACAGGCAGCGGATGAAACTAGAAAGGATGAGGCACAGAACTGCTGCTGCTCTGTTCTTTCTCTGCTCTTTCTGGTACACAGTACATGACAAAACGTCATCCTGCTGAGAATTTCCCTGCCTTTGCTTCTGACAACCAATAACGTGAGGCTTAAGCTGACCTATCAGTTAAATGCAAGAGAGTTACGGTAAACGAACTTAAAAAACAACCCAGAACACACACCTAGGCTGTGCACACACCTTGCATTTAAATACACATTTAAAGCACATGGTTTTTCAAGAATCCTCAGAACTGTAGTGCTGTGAAGGGTGAACTGTGGTTGCCAGGATTCTCTGGGGGAAGTAATGTGCTTAAAATGTATGGTGTGTACACACTTCTATCAGCTGGAATCAAATGAGAAGAGAGTCAGCCATTCATTTGGGAGACCTGGGTTCGAGTGGTAGCTCAGCCAAAGACTAGCATAGACTTTGGGGAAGTCATACTCTCTCAGCCTTGTTTTCCCCTTTGTTGTAAAATAGGAGTGTCATTAATTACCTGGACTAAAATCAGAAGCCCTTGGCTCTGTGTGAGCCACCAGAGCAGCAGTTTGGAGCACCTTCTAGGTAGGGCAATGAAGTCTTCTCAAGCTCTTCCTAGGATGGCCATTAGGCCCTCCTAAATAGGAAGAGCTAGAGAGGGCTTCCTGTTTGGGTCAGGAGTTTGCCAGAGCAAAGTGGATTTCCTGGCTCTTGTGTTTTCTTTGATTCTGACTCATGCCTGGTCCAGGGATGAGAAACTTCAGGATCAAGCGCCGAATGTGAGTCTCCATGCCACTCTCTCTGGCTATGCCTCCTTTCTCCAGGCCCCATGCATAGCTGGCCTCGATTCTCACAAGTGTTTTTTGCCCAGCAGGAATAAGTCACTGAATACAGATAATGCCTCTTGCTGGTCTGGGTTGAGGTTATAGAGAGGTGTGTATAGAAACTTACCTACTGTGCAGAGGTTTACTATGTACATTGATTGCCTCACTCACTTTTGCCTCTGGCCCCACCCACCACTAACATGGCCCTTGGAAGGTTGCCCAGAAAGGAATGTGGCCCTTACTTTGAAAAAGGTTCCCCACCCTTGCCTTGGTTCCTCAGATTCCCATTCCCTGGCATAACCCCTGGTTTTCTTGCAATTGCTGCCAAGGGCAGTAAGATTGGCCTTTTCCCCCAACAGCTTTTCCCCATGAAGAACTAGAGACAAGGAAAAGTTGCTGAAAGCCTTGGAAAGTGATATACAATCTAAATTGAACACATTGTAAAATTGCTTAATTTTGTTTTTATTCATTTCCTTATATGTCACACACTTCCTGAGAATAAAACTGGGGTGGCCCATGCATGGCCTTATCTGCTTCTGTCCTTACAGCAGCCTTGAGATGTGGGTTCGGTGAGGAACCGTACTAGCCGAGGTCAGAGTTTCGCAGAACAGGAATTTGAAACCTGGTTTTTCCATATCATACTTTAGGTACGTGGGGGGCTGGACAATGGGAAATGCCTCACCGCGAGAAAGCTTTTTTCCAATGCGAAGCGGACATTGGTCTCAATGCTGGTCCGTTTCTTGCGGCGCCGGCCTGGCAGCCCATCAAAGCCCATGTTGGGACTGCTCAGCTGGTTGGGGCTGGGAAGTGTGGAGTCCACAGACATTGTCTCTGAAACATGAGGTGTGGGGGAGCCATTTAGTCACCTTGCAAACATCATCACCCAGTGTACAGCACCCCACCTGGTGTGTTACCTCCTTCCTATGGCTTGATCCAGCTTCACTATCTTCATCTTTCCCTCTACTGGGCCTAGTTTCCACTTGCTTGCCTTGAGAAGTGACACCAGTCCCTTGCCTCTCTGCCATCTCCTTTTGACTTTAGAGATGGTGCCCTCCAGATGTTGTTGAGACTACAACTCCCACAATCTGTGGCCACTGTTCATGCTGGCTGGGGCTGATGGGAATTTAGCAACATCTGGAGGGGGCTATGTTGGAGTCCTGCTTTAGAGCAGTGTTTCCCAACCGGTGTTCCGCGGCACACGAGTGTGCCGTGAGACGTTGCCTCGTGTGCCGCGAGATGCCTGGAGGGAGGCGGGCGAGTCGGGCGACGAGAGGCGGGGCGGCGGCGGCGAGGAGAGGCCGCGCCTCCTGCTGCTGCCTGGCGCTCCTCCTCGCAGCCGGCAGCGCTGCCTGGGCGCCTCCACGCGACTCTGCCTCGCTGGGTTTGGTCTCCCAGCAGAGACGGGTCACACACGCCCCTCCCTCCCTCCCTCAGCCTGCGCGGAGGGAGAGCCAGAGAGAGGCATCGCTCCTGCGCGGCGGGAGAGGGAGCAGCCGGAGCGATGCCCCAAACGAACGCATGGGACCGGAGGGGAAATCCTCTCCGAGGCGGATTGAGCGCAGCTGAGAGAAGCCTTTCGAGGAGCTGCCGTGTCCCCTGGAAACCCCCTTCCCAGCTCTGCCTCAGCCGCCGCCGCCTCAGTTGCCGCCGTCCCTCAGTCCCTCGCTCTGCTGCCTCCTCCCACCCCCAAAGCTTGGAGGTTCCCCAGCAAGGGGGAGGGAAAAAACTTTCACTTTTGTGCGTCCCTCCCGGCGTGACGCTGCGCGCTGACGTCACGGGGCGGGGCTTTAATGGTGGTGTGCCGCGAGATTTTTTTTCAGTAAACAGGTGTGCCGTTGCCCAAAAACGTTTGGGAAACACTGCTTTAGAGAGTTCACACTGGATTGGCTTTTAAGCAGCCTGTGTAACAGTAGCTTCTCAGCTCAAAAAACGAAACCTTTGAAGATCTATCTTAGTAGCAGTCAAGGGGCAATTTTAAAGTTGAATGTATATGCTGAGGAAATATTTTCCCATGTTCTGCCTTACTGGGAAGTAATCTGCAGAACTTTGAGCCCATAAAGTGAATTTTCCTAAAGGCCTGAAGTTAGCATTCTCTCCCTCTGTCCTTGGAGGCTTGGGCCAGGCCCCCTGTCCACCCACCGGCTCCCCAAAGGCCTGTTCAGGCCTATCTGACACCTGCATTAGGCCAGACATGTGGGGACCATTCTTAGATAATGAAGTCATTCTTTTCCATTCCGTTATGTTCTCCCCAGCCCTGACAATGAGTTCCCTCACACCTGCTCATTTCCACATCTTTCCTCTCCACCAACTCAATCAGGGCTTAGCTTCCTCAGCAGAAAATATCTCAAATCTTGAGCTCCACCTTCCTTCTAATCGCTTGTTCCCACCCACCCCCCAAAAGCTCTTTTATTTTTGCCTCTAAGAGGCCTTAACCCTCCTCCAGCAGACCTCAGCTTCTTCCTCCTCCCTTCCTCCTCTCCACTTACCAGCGTCATTGAGCCATTTCTCCAGTAGAGGTTTGAGTTTGCACATGTTCTTAAAGCTGAGATTGAGTGCCTCAAAGCGCGAGATGGTTGTCTGGCTGAAGTCATTCCCATAAAGCTTCCCCATGGCCAGCCCCACATCACCCTGTGGAGGAGAGAGACAGAGGTGGGGAGAGAAGCTGTTACCGAGAGCATACAACCTGTCGGGGCATTAAGATCATCAGAGGAGGCCCATCTCTAGCAGAACTAAACCATGTATAAACATCAGAGGGTGCCTCAACTGTAGAATATTCCCCTCAGGGAGGTACAGGTGACACCAACATTTTCTTCTCTTCGGTACATGCTTAAAACCTTTTTCATTTGCCCAGGTGTTTATATTATGGAATTTTTTGTTGGTTGACTGATTTTATTCCTCTTCAAGTTTATTGAATTACTGACAATGGGTTGCATCATACTCTGAATAGACCCACTGAAATACAAGACTAACTAAAGTCCACTGATTTCAGTGGGTCTAAGTGCTGAATACAACCCACTGTTTTAGAATGTATTTCTACTGTTAAAAATTCTTGAAAATATTACTGGTTTTGTACTGTGGATGCTTATAAATTGCTTAGTTTACTACTTTTGGCTAAAAGTAGTAAAAAAGCCTGTGTATAAAACAAAAACAACAACAAAAAAGCCACAAAAAACCACAAAAAAATACTTAAGGCTGTGCATTCAAACTGGCGTGATCTCTGCCTCACTCCTCAGGTTGATCCCAAAGAGAAGGTTGTGCTTATGCAACCAACATGGGGAATGTACTTTCTAGAGCTGCTCCTAGTTCTATGTATGTTTGGGGCACTTCCAGGATGTCACTATTTTTGATTCCATCACATTCAGGCAAGTTTAGGTTGCACAATTAAATGTGATTTGGAGATACATGACCACCTCATCAAAAGATCGACATGGTCTAGGCTCCCTGTGAACAATTAAGAATGAATGCTAAATCACTGAATCATAGAACTGTAGAGTTGGAAGGGACTCACAAGGATCCTCTAGTCCAACCCGCTGCAATGCAGGAATCTCAACTAAAGCCTCTAATGTCCAACAAGGTCTAACCACCCCACAAACTTTGGGCAAACAAATTGGAATGAATGTTCAATAAACAGGTCATCTGGAAGTGACCTTAGTCTTCCCCCCCCCCCCCAGGGAACATTGCCGCCTCAATCCCTGATGCTTCTTTCATATGAACCAACCTGGACCCTGCGATCACCATCCGAGGCTCTTCTTTCCTGCATTGCAGACGGTTGGACTAGATGACCCTTGGGATCCCTTCTAACTCTACAATTCTATGATTCTTTGTGTGCCTCCTCCACAATAGCTCCAGAGGGTGACAACAGGAGAACAGGCCTTATCTGCACTGGCTCCCTGCTTGTGGAATGCTGTCTCCAGAGAGGCTTGCTTGGCACCTTCATTACATATCTTTAGATGCCAGGCAAAAGCATTCCTCTTCTCCCAGGCCTTTGGCTAATTAAACAATTGAAGGCCTTTTAAACTGAGGGGAGAGTCATTCTTGTTTTTGTTTGTTACTATGTTATGTGTTCTTGTGTTTTTATGTTGTAAACTGTCCTGTGGTCCTTGGATGGAGGACGATATAGAAATTTAATAAACGGAACAGTAATTTCACAGCGAAAATGTTTGTAAATTAAGTGAAGAAGAAGAAGAAGTGTTTGGATTTGATATCCCGCTTTATCACTACCCGAAAGGAGTCTCAAAGCGGCTAACATTCTCCTTTCCCTTCCTCCCCCACAACAAACACTCTGTGAGGTGAGTGAGGCTGAGAGACTTCAAAGAAGTGTGACTGGCCCAAGGTCACCCAGCAGCTGCAGGTGGAGGAGCGGAGACGTGAACCCGGTTCCCCAGATTACGAGTCTGTCGCTCTTAACCACTACACCACACTGGCTTTCAGTGTGAGTATACAGAATTGGCAAAATTAACTTCAATTATAAGATACCAATCAAATCAAAAGTTAAGAATGGAGTGAAAGTATTTCGAAGATTCTATGTCAAAATATTGTTCTAAAAATGACATGCTAATAAGCTTAGAATGAAAAATGTAAGCAATAACAAAACCAATAAAAGGAAAAATCAGAATGTAACAAAAATAATTTATGATAGAATGCAAGGGAAAAAGGTAGAAAGAAATATAAAGAAGTCGAATTGCTGTGGAGGGAAGTAGAGGGTGGGTGGTGGGTTTTATAATTATGTATATAATTAAGTAGCTGTTGTAATTTAGATATTATATTTTATGTGAGGGAATCATTGCGAATTTTGGTTATTATGTATATATGTTAAGTTTCAATAAAGATCTTGGGGGGGGAGGAGAAAATAATAATAATAATTTCACAGTGAAAATGTTCACAGGGCAACATCTGGCACAGCCCCCTAAAGGAAACCAACGACATCCCACTCTTCCATCGTGGACTAGCCTAAGCCAGACACCTTGGCCTGTACCTGTGTGAAGCCCAGCTTGATACGCCGCTGCTTGAAGGTGCGGGCAAACTGCTCCAGCTCCTCCAAGTCGCTGGGCTCCTCAGGGTGTGAAGGGGTCTCCAGGCATTTGGGTGGCTGTGAGTGAGTGAGGTGGGACTCGGGGAGGCCAGGCCGAGTCACTTGCTGGGGAGCGAAAAGAAGACACAAAAATGCTGAACCAAGATGCACGAAAGCACCGAACAGAAGGCAAAGAATAATGTATGAACAAGACCTCGCCCACACTTCCACCACGCCCGTGCCTAGAAAGCACGGGGCCAAGCGGTCTTCTGCCTGACTGAAATATACTCAGAGTCGAGAGTGGATTTCATGCTCTTTATTCAGCTCATAGTGGTGAGGAGGAATGAAAGTTTCCCCAAAGTATCTGCTTTATATACATTATTTACACAATGGGCTGCACGTGATTGGCTAATTCCGGAATTCTCCTGTAGGCCAATCAGGTTGTGGATTCACTTCCATCTGGAGCTGGATTGGGTGGCTCCTGCAGACCAATCATACTGCTGCATTGTTCTAGGACCAATCAGACTGCTGCATTTTGAATCCTATTGTTCTAGGACCAATCAGACTGCTGCATTTTGGATCCTATTCTTCTAGGACCAATCAGACTGCTGCATTTTGGATCCTATTCAACTCAGTACATAACACTGACCCACTCCTTTCCCAGGGAAACCCTGCACTCTAGCTCCAAAATGGAGCAAATCTGGAGAAAACTCAACTTGTTGTGTGCTTCAGTTGAACACTAAAGAGTGGCTTCCCTGTCCCTGGTTCCTGGGCCAAGCAGTGGGACAAAAGGACACTGCTTCCCAGGTGGTGTCAATATTACCATATTACTTATATCCCATTGTTGGCTCTGGTCAGACATTTCTGCAAGTCTTTGAAACAATACCTGGGAAACTGTTTAAGCAGAGGCAAAGGTGAGATGAGTGATTACAACCCTCATAGTCCCAGGGCACAAGATACAGAGCCACCACGCTGAAGCTAAGCAGGTCTAGAGGTCTGATCACTGCCTGGTTGGAAGACTGACTGGGAAAGGACCCACCCCCCTCCATGCACACCATGTGAAGTTCCATAATGGAAGGGGTGTAAATGTACTAAACAAATTCCTGATCGCCACTGCCTTCAAGGGTCTGACAAAATGATCATTGCATTGCGTTAACTGTGGTGAAACAGTCTTTTCTTCAAAGCAAGATATACTGGAGCAGACAAGAGTACAGCATTAAAAGATGAAGAATGAGACTGCCAGACCAAGGCTGGCAATCTCTGCGTTCCCACTGAGTATTTTACGCACTCACCTGTGCTGGGAGTCCTGCACGAGGCTGGTTCGGCAGGAGGCTCCCTGGGTTTTGCTGAGGTAGCTGAAAGAGATTTGGTGTCGGGAGCAGCCCTGTGAGGGAAAAGATGTAGTGAACAGCTCAGCTTCGCTAAATCAAGCACCACCTTATTCCACCGTGTGAAAAGTTACTGACCAAACCCGGAATAAAAACCTGCCAGTTTGGTGCCATTCTTCAGACCCCTAAAAACCTCCACTGTTGTTATTTAAGCGAAGTAAAATCCTACTCCTCATCGGCTGAAGAGAAAATAAAAATTCACAATAGCAGCTACTGCTGAAAATGTGCAGACAAGGAAAAAGCCTAGCTGGACACTGCAGCATTTAGAAAATGTGGTTTTTCTATTCTTCACAGTTGTTTGTCTTTTCTTGCAGACTGGGGAGGAATTTGAAGGTGAGCCTATTTAATTCACACTTTCTGAAACAAAGTGTAAACTGAAACACAGCCATTTGTTGAAATTCATACTTCTCCAAATTCTGCAACGCAGTTCTCCAGCTAGGTTATTTTGCACTAAGATTCATATATGAGAGCAAAGGCTGCATATAAAATCATATATTTGTGAAAATAACATAGAAATGTAGTGTTATCTTAAGAAAGTTGCTCTGCAAAAATATATTTATTAGGATAAATTCATACAAAAATGTTGATGGAATTTTCATGAGGACATTTTTTTTAATTGCAAACTGGTGTGGAAACTTAAGATTGGAAAACTGAAAAACTGAGAGGAAGCAAAATTGGCAAATCGTCTCACCCCTACCATCCAGCACATGATTCTAACTTGAGAGAATAAAATGCTTTATGCTGAGGCAAAGTGGAACAGATTTCTCCAGTTCCCTAATCTGCCTCTTCATCCCAGAATGGGGGGAACAAACGGGGAATTCTGTGGTGAGGGAAAAGTACATGATTTTATCACCTTTCAGAACTGCACATAATTCCTGGTAGACCTGGGCTTGGTGAGGGTGGGGTGAGTAGATATAGGCTGACAGTGAACTCTGTGTTTTGGGTTTTTTTGTCCAAGGCTTACAGCAGGGATGAGGAATGTGTGGTCCTTCAGATGTTGCTGGACTACAACTCCACCATTCCTGACCATTGGCCACATTGGCTGTAGTTTGGTAGATCAAAGAGCATCTGGAGGGGGAGGGCACAGATTCCCCATCCCTGCCTTACAGTGCTTCCACACTAGGTGCTTACTATCCTCACACTTGGTTCACTCACTTTTTATAGGGCATCTACCAGTACATGACATCATCAACTCATTGTCTCCCCCCGTGTCTTCTCTGTGCTGCTTCTTCTGGTTTTCGACAGACCACAAAAAATCCCAAGTTGTTGTTGTTGTTATTAATATTATTAATAATAATAATAATAATAATAAACACCAGTGGAATCTTTACAGGTGTAAATCACCGTAGTATTGTTACTCTTCCATTTTCTTTTCCATCTGGTTTTGGCAGGGATGCCTAAAGCAGCCGAACCTATTGCCATTTCACCTTCACTATTATTATTTTCCAGTCAGCGTCATTTCATTACATTGTTGTTGTTGTTTTAAAAAATGTTTTAATTAACACCATTAACAAAATGTTTTAATTAACCATTTTTAAATATGACAGTATTCATGCCATGGCACTTCTATGGAAGAGTATTCTAGTGCTGATTTTCAAATGCTGCTGTTTTTTCATCCTGTGCCAATGTTTTATTTTTCAGACTTTTCACAACATTTTAGAACGTTTTTCTTATACATCTCAAAAGTTGTTGGGAAAGAGCACTTCACTGAGCTTTCCCCCCATCAGGGCATAAAGTCAATGGCAATTTCATTTGCAGCTTACAGCGGAAAAAACAACGGGTCGTTGCACTAGGAACTGCTTGCCTGCAAATACCCTTTTGCCAGGAGAAGCGGAGTGTGGCCTATGCAGTCTCTTTTTCACACACAAGCCATTCTTACCTTGCTGTCCCTGCTGGGCCTGTGGCAGCAGGAACTGTGCAGGCGGCTGGAGGTGGTGCCCTGGGACGAGGACTAACTGCTGGAGCTGGAGCAGCTGCTGGATGTCCTAGAACAGAGAAGCGAGGTGGAGGAAGAGTGTGGGTATATCTACCATCCAAATTTATGCCAGTTTAATGCTGGGGACTGCAGTCCGGTGAAGGTGTTGAGGATTCTCCTACAGTTGACCAGGGTCTGTTGTGGCGAGTGGCAATGTGTGTTTGCTAGAAAGGCACACACAGAGGAAGTTGGATCTCACAGGGTCTACAGAAAATCCTCCCTGTGAGAGCCACTTTCACTGTGTACAGCCAGGTAAAACGGGCACAGCCTATATAAGCCTGTCACGTTCCCAGCCTGCTCTTTCTCTGATTCCTGATCTCCGATCTCTCTCTTCTCTTCTCTCTCTTCTCTTCTCTTCGATGCCTCATCAGTGACTAGGGATGAAGGACAAGTGCTGAATCTGAGTCACAGCTCAAACTCCATTTTGATCTAAACTACTGTATACAGTGGTGCCTCGCAAGACGAAATTAATTCGTTCCGCGAGTTTTGTCCTCTTGCGATTTTTTTCGTCTTGCGAAGCACGGTGTCGGGAAAGTTTTGGAAAAGCTTCAAAAATCACCAAAGTCTTTAAAAACCTCAAAAAAGGCTACCACACCGCGTTCTATGAGTTGCTCCTCGAAGTCAAGTTGCAACTGTATTAACGGTGTTAAGAAAAAGGAAGCAAACTTGCAAGACGTTTCCGTCTTGCGAAGCAAGCCCATAGGGGAAATCGTCTTGCGAAGCAGCTCAAAAAACAAAAAACCCTTTCGTCTAGCGAGTTTTTTGTCTTGCGAGGCATTCGTCTTGCGAGGTACCACTGTATGTCTGCAACTACATTTTCAGCCTGCCTCAAGACTGCTATTGTGAAACTGAGTGAGTAAATCTATCTTTACTTATAAGAAGACTGTTTGGTGTGTCTATTGTTTTTAAGGGAGAAAAGGGGGAAATAACAGGAAATCCAGTCTGCAATAAAGCATCCTGGATCACTAAAACTAAAGGTTAAAGCTAACCTATCAACAGGTTCCTTATTTTTGGCCGACAAAGGGACGTACCCTGCTGAACTCACGAAGAACAATATCTAACAAACACATCCTCTCCTAGTTTCTATACACATCCCTACATAAGAGAAGAAATGCCGCAGTGCACCTGCAGCAGCAGAACTGAACGCCTTCACCTGTCCCAGCTGCAACAAAACATGTCTCTCCCGCATCGGTCTCTAGAGCCACAGCAGGTACTGCAACTTTCCAACAGTTTGACCTCGCCCAGAAAGGCGCACCCCTCCACTGTCTCCTGAGACAGATGGATGCCAACCGTGGATCAGGCCACGTCTGCATGAGCAGCCTGTCATAGGCTTTGACTTCTGCCCTGTTCCCTGTGTGGTGGTGAGCGTGTAATGCTGGGCAACCCATTCTGGCCAGACCCCCGGCAAGCTGAGCCTCCCGTGCACAAGCCCTTACCTGTGCAGTGAGCTGGATTGGCTGCGACAGGGCAAGCTGTGGCGTCTGGGGCTGGTTCTGTGGCGCCGTCAGCTCAGCCCCAGGCTGCTGAGAGGAGGCTGCGGCAGCTGCGGCATTGGACTGCTGCACGGCGGCTGCCAGGAGCTGCGCTTGGGCCTGCTGCAGAAGCAGCTGCTGTTGGGCAGGCATCAGGGCCGTCAGCTGGGTTGGTGGAAGGCAGAGAAGAGGTGTACCAAGGGCAGCATAGCAAATGGCAGGCCAGGAGGAGGTGACCAGGCAGAAGGGGAATAGAGGCGGAAAAGGGAAGGAGGAGAAATCAACCAGGCAGAGAGAAGGAAGAAGCTGGTTAGTTGGGTCCTTCTCCCACCCAGCGCATCAGCAGAGGTATGAGAGCCCCAGCAAGCAGAGAGCCAAGCAATATATTCCTCTTGGTTGCCAACACCTTTCCTGACAGCAGTGCCTGTGCTTATAATTCAACACAATAGGACAATTTCACTAAGCAGACGAGGGCTGTTGTTCTTTCACGTTATGTTCAGGGACAGGAAATCCTGTGTGTGTTGAATTTCTCCTGGGAAAGGCACAGGAGGAGGAATGGAGTGGGCAAACCTAAGCTTCTCACATTACTGAGAAATGCTGACGAACACACAACGCCATTCCGGGTCCCTTACTGCTTATATGAGGAAGGTATAAGCAGCATTTTGCTAGGGCAATGCAGAATGAGAATTTAGTTTCAATCTAAGCCCCTCCACAAGCCACACCTGCACAGGAGAAATGTCCACTTCCCCAGGCCTCTACCTACCACATTCAGAGGAGAGGAGAGGGGTGAGATTTCAAAATCATCATTTCCTTTTCATCATCCTTCAGTGTCCACCCCAGAGTGCCAGGGAGCCATGCCTCCCCAGCTACCATCTTCCTATCAACCCTCTATTTCCCTTAAACTATTCTGAATCATTAACTGATACCACAGGCCTTTTAGTACATGATTTCTTTAACTATTTTTCCAAGTGCACACCTAAATAATAAACACATACAGTGTGCTTGTCAGAAGACACACACACTCTCTCTCTCTAATCTGTATACTTACAAACCTGGATTTGTTACTACATAATCTATGAAACAACTTTATGGAAAGAGAGAAGCTTCCCATCAAATAATAACCATGCTTTTTACATAATGAACGTTGGCTCAATGCTTCTTGAGTTCAGGACTTTCAATTGTTAGAAAACTGGTCATGGAAACAGCCCTTTGTTTGTATCCACCTCCCTGCCACCCCCTGGGCCACTTAAGCCAAACTCCGTAATCTATGTCTGGCCACAGGACCTTCCACTTACCCCAGCCAGCTGGCTGCCAGCTAACATAAGCTGGGCCTGGGGCAGGTGTGTCTGCTGAGCTGGGGGAGCCGGGACTGGGGCTGGAGCTGGAGGAATTTCTGTTGGGTCTTCAGCTTTGATCTGGAGGGAGAAAAGAAGATGAAAGAGAATCACTACGACTCTCTCTCCAGCTGTGTGCGACAGACATCCTTCCGCTCCTGTTGCAGCTCAACATTGCTTGTTTGAGACACAAATTTGATGCTGTCCTCCTTCTCCTTCCATGCTTCCTGACCCCCTCTCCTGTGCCCCTAATCTCCCCTTCCCTAACATCCGAGCTACCAGCCTGGAAGAAGCGCTTAAGCAGAGCTATGGCAATGGGTAGCTCTCACAGGGCAGCGCAAAAGGATCAAGTTTTAAGGCTACCATTGAAAATACGGAGTCCTATCTGTATCACTGTAGGGAGAGGATGGTGGCCCAATGGAACTGAGGAACATTGTCCAAGGTGCTGGGTGCTGCTAAGCAACACCAAGGAAAACAAAAAAATTCTGCAACTTGAATACATTATGCTAAGTAAGCAGCTCTGCACGTGTTTAATTCACTCTGCTGCTGCAAGCGACTTGCTAAAGGGACAAAGAGCAACACAAGCACCAAAATCCCAACAACTGGAAGTTGATGCTATCTCTCTGACTCATTGCTAGGTTAGCTTCCTGTTTTGCTGCTGGGCCTGAGGCACAGGGAATTCCCCCGCAAAACCAAACTTGATTCATGAGTCTCTACCACACTGATTACAAAAGTACAAAGCTGCCCACGGTTCTGACCCACCCAACCTTCCACTCAGCTATATATTATACCAGAAAAATAAAAAATAAGTTTCTTCAGTTACTCAGAAATCAATCAACGGGGGGGGGGGTATTGAATTACTTCATGATTCCAGTCCTGGGACAAAATGGGTTTTGCAGGTTTCTGTTGTGCTTCAAAACACAGCAACATTTGTTTAACCAGAAAATATAGAGGGGCTGTAAAAAAAACCCAGAGTTTTAAAGCTAAGTAGGTACCAGTAGGTTAGTGACCTGATGGGAGGACTAGCCTGAGGGATCTGTAAGTTGCTTTCCAAATGAAGACAGGAATAGAAATGTAGTAAATAATACTCCATGGCACTGCAGAAATGCTACTTTTCCTTAGAATTCACTCATCTACAGCCACCATAGCTGGTTCTGGGGTAGGGATAGGGAACCTGTGGCCCACAGATGTCTTTGGACTCCAACTCCCATTAGCATGGAATGATGGGAGTTGCAGTACAGCATTTAGAGAACCAGAGGAGATCTGGAGGAAACAGTGGTCAACTAAGACAGATAAACACACTGATAAACAGAGGTGGAGAACGTTTTCTGGCGAGTGGGTCGGATCCTTGTCTCTCCAACCCTGCTGGACAAAATTTGACAGATGGGTGGCAGGTCATGTTACCCTTTGCAGCCCCACTTGTTGGGATTTCAAAGCACAGCACAAGCCATTCGAAAATCCTTTTTGTAAAAAGGCATTTAAAAAGCCCTCTGGACCACTTGTCTTCAGAGAATCAAGGAGGAGCATAGAGAAGGAGAATGGAATGTAAACTTGACTTCCTGTCCTTTCCAAATTCTTTTCACTCTAATAGACCTATTGCCTAAACTTCATACCATGCATAATTTTATACCCCTCTATCATAATAAATAGGGATACTTCAGGAAATTTGTTCTTTCTGAATTCTGATACAAGCTGGCTTGATTTGCACCTCCCAAACCACTGTGAAGATCAGAATGCAGCTACGCTCTTCACCAAGGGCACTGCAAATTGATGCGGTGCTCCCTCTGGTGGCAGCTGCTAGTGAACATAGCTAGGTACCTCAACCTCCTTTTTCACCCAAATGCTCCCACTGACCCATGTTATTATTATTATTTCACATGTAATATGATAAAGCATTATTGCAGGACACAGAGCTAAGGTCCACATTACCTCCATTAGAAACTGCTGGAGTCCACATTCCAGAACATACACACGTACAACTATTAACACACCTATTAACTATTAACATATTTTACCTTTATTTTTACTTATTAACATATACACACACATTTATTCATACGCACACATCCATTCACAAAACAAGCAAATCTCTCCTCCTTGTGGAGGGGTAGTGTGGCTTGGGTGCCAAAGTTCAGAGGTTCCCCAGTCAGAGGCACTGCAAAATTGGATTCCTATTTCCTCATTAATATTATAACCTGCAACCTGATTTCTTCCCTCTCTGACCTCCATTCTCCTAGACTTGGCTATGGTGGTTGCAGATAAGAGGTGATATTTTTATTCCCCATGGATGGTACCTAAAAGGTAAAGGTAAAGGGACCCCTAACTGTTAGGTCCAGTCGCGGACAACTCTGGGGTTGTGGCGCTCATCTCGCTTATTGTGGCCAGTCATGTGGCCAGCATGACTAAGCCGCTTCTGGCGAACCAGAACAGTGCACGGAAACGCCGTTTACCTTCCCGCCAGAGTGGTACCTATTTATCTACTTGCACTTTGACGTGCTTTTGAACTGCTAGGTTGGCAGGAGCTGGGACTGAGCAACAGGAGCTCACCCCGTCACGGGGATTTGAACTTAACCTTGTTCCCCATATAGGGGAGCACAAAGAAGCACAAAAAAGCAGCCCTGCAAACTGTTGGAAGATGGTCCCTACTGGCGGAGACCACTGTTATTACAAGCATGTATGGGAAATTGTCTTCTCTTTTGAGTATGGTGAGAACTGGCAGAGAAACAATGTCCTCTGCAGTGGTGCTAGTGGAAGCTAGAGGATGCCACTTACCTTGGTGCCGGTGCTGGTTGGGGATGGGGAGAACGGGGAAGGTTTGCTCTGCTGGGTCTGCAAGGGACAAAGAGAGAAAAAGGAAGTCAGCATCAACAGACTAAAAGCATGCCCCTTGTCTGCCACAACAACATTTGTGCCACTACTATAAACCTCCAGCTTCTGGCCAACTTTTCTCACCTGGTGGTTTGTGTCAGGTCCATTTCTTTCTGTATCTGAAACCAAGGAGATAATTGTCATAAAGCTTCCATACAAAGCCATCACTTCAATAATCCCCATCCCTTGAACCCTCCTCCCAAGGCCTACATTCTCAAATAAGAGTCCCATAGGCCACATCAAGCCTGCCATGCCTGTTTCTTCTCCTCCTCTCCCCACAGGTCCTGTGCCTTTCTCTTGCAGGATTTCAGTCATGGCTATGTGGTTTCTTATGGTACTGTACGTGCATGAACACACATGCCCAAGTGTAGGATCACTCTAAAATCAAGATATATATGCAAACCATACTATAATTCTGGCATTTTGGACAATGCAGGTATGGTTTTAAAGAAAGGGACTTAATTACATTTTTGAAATGAAGCTTTTTTCTGGATGTTTAATGCATTGTACATGTAGCATGTTTATAGAAGTAGGCAAACCTCTGAGGTCTCCTCGCTTTTTGTCTGATATTTGGTGCTTTCCCTTCTTTCTACCAAGGGGTAGTCTGGCCCACTAAACAGTTACGGTAAGTGGCACGGCCATGTACCAAACATTGGCTGCTTCTTTCCACCCAGCCTTCTTTCTAACATTTATTCTCTGCTTCATTCCTTCTGCTCCCCTAAAACAATCGCTTTCAGGACTTCTCACTGCTTCTCTTCTCAGCCCCCAGACACCCCACATGACCATTTTTCATCATGCCTAATTTTGCCCCTCTCCCCCAAATTTGCTTCACTAAGACTCATTCAAAAACTTGCTAGTGCAAATCGTATGTTATCTTAGTTGCATTTTTATTGCTTAGTCCAATTTATTGGGTCCGAAAAACTTTTTAAAATGCAGAACATTGGGAGGATTTATTTTACAATAACAGTAAGGAGGAGGAGGAGGAGGAGGAGGAGATGATCACCCCAGGGCAGTTTACAAAATAAACAAGAAGTGTACATATCACAAAACATGTGTTTCATATATTATATGAAGGCTAGTTCCTAAGCCTGTCGGTTTGTCACATTCCAGTAGGACCAAAGAATGGAACTCAGGACAGAGCAATGCAAATGAAAGCTGAGGCATGGTCTCCCTGCAACTGTGGGGTTATGGGACAAAGGAAAATGGCTTTTGGGCACCGTTGCTGGGTGATGGGGGAGCGCAGAAGTCTGTACTGAGGTGAGATTACTCTAGTGATCACTGTGAACATCACAACAGTCTCCCACCCCTCACCCACTTTTAAAAGCTCATAATGACAGATATTTTGCTAGTTCATAAAAATTATAATGAACGACTAAATCCCCATCCCTTCCCTCCAGGCACTGCTACCTGTGTGCTCCTCTTGCAGCTCCAGCCGCGCCTTCTCCAGCTCCAGGGGCTTAGACATTCTTACTTCTATGAGAGAAAGAAAAGAGGGTGGAAAGAAAATGGGGGTGAGCGCTACATCAGATTGTGATGGTACACCAAGCGGCAGTGGGGGGAATCAGCAGAACACCCAGAACCTAAATACTAATCTAAAGTATTTAAATATCAATACAGTAACGTTTACAGTACATAGAATTTGAAAATATATGCCTAGTTGGATCAGGGATGGGCAATCTGTGGCTCTCCTGCGTTATTGGACTCCATCTCCCATCATCCCTGACCATTAAAGGCCAGCCCAGGTTGTTTTGCTGCTTGAGACAAAAGCCCTGGAGCCATCCCCCCTCCTCTGCCCACTCCTGATCTTCATCAGCGCTGGGCATCTACTGCCCAGTGCTCGGCACCTGCTCCTGTTCCTCCGTCGCAGCCCCCCATCTATCCCCACCTCTCCACAGCTTACACAGCAGACCACCTGCCAGCCAAGCAAACCACAGCTTTGCCAGGCTGCCTCCAGGCGGTGTAAGAGGAGACACAACAGTGGGGAGGACACAGTCACAGTGGCAGAGGAACAGGAGGAGGAAGAGGTCACCCAGCAGCAGTTTGTGCCCTGTGGGCAACTGGAGGTGGCATGCAGTGGGTGCACAGTGGCAGTGGCCGCTGTAGCCTCCGGCCCTGCTGACCATTGGCCCTGCTGGCTAAGGCTGATGGAAAATGGAGTCTAATAACTTCTGGCAGATTCCCATCTCTGTCTTACTACGTCTTGACCAATATAATGGAAAGACATTTCAGTGGCCAACACTGAAAAGCAGTTTACTTTTTGATGAGCAAGAGCTTGCATGTTTTTCCTAGTTATCTCCTGCAAGTAAAAACAATAGTTTCTTTCTCTTTTTAATGGAAGCAGAAAATTCAGAGGAGGAATATCCATGTGAGGACCAGGCCTCTAAAGGCCACTTATTCTCCCTTCCAGTGTTCACTGCAGGAGGTGGTCCCATCATTCAGCCCGGACACTGAGGTCCAGCTCCGAGGGTCTTCTGACAGTTCCCTCCCACAAGAAGTGAAGTTACAGGGAACCAGACAGAGGGCTTTCTCAGCAGTGGCACCTGCCCTGTGGAATGCCTTCCTATCAGATGTCAAAGAGATAAGGAACTACACAACTTCTAGAAGACATCTGAAGGCAGCCCTGTTTTGGGAAGTTTTTAATGCTTGACATTTTATTATGTTTTTATCTATTGCTGGAAGCTGCTCAGAGTGGTTGGGGAAACCCAGCCAGATGGGCAGGGTATTATTTATATTATTTATATTATTATTATTATTATTATTATTATTATTATTATTATTATTATTATTATTATTATCTCATTTTGCAATCTTACTGCCTTCATGTTTTTCATTTAGTTCTGTTGATTTTTTTGATTCTCCTAAATAATTTGGCATCACCAACAAACGTGACTCCTTCCCCGCTTTCCCATACCCCTATCATAACTGGGTCCAAATAGCACGGCATGGCAGAAGGTGCAAAGATGAGAGCTAAAGGTTGCTTTCTTCTAACATGGATCATGTGCACAAAATAAATAAAAAGAGGCATACTTTTGCTTTCCAACATACGCTACATCCTCTCCTTCCCGTCACCTCCCAAGCTACACTGCAAAGGAGTAAGATATTGCACTACAGATGCTAGACCCTAGTTTGTGTGACTTTAGCACTACGAAAATCTATTCTATAGAACACTCTTTGGAAAGGCCCAATATGTTTGGGGAGACCCCAGCAGCTCAGATCAGAAAGTGAAACCTTGCAAGAGAAGGGCCTAGGCAACCACTCGCCCAGCTTCACGAAGTTGAGAAACGGGGAATAGAAATAACAAAACAAAACAAAACTTCCACAGATTGCTAAAACCACAAAGTCATCCATATCAGTTCCTGGCCCCCCAAGATCCCCACAAATCAAATTACCTAATCCTGCCCTTAGTGAACGTGCTGCCAGTAGATGCAGCCAAACAAGGCACACACAACACTGAGAGGTACCTGGGAGGGGAAGGTGTGATTTGGATGCAACTTGGGAGAGTCAGAGGGTGGACTTCCCCGCTCTGGGCACTTTTGGTCCCGTGCTAGAACTGCACGCAGCTTAGGTTGAAGTGGGGAAAATCTCTTTCTTAATAACAACCAGCCCCAGCTGAGGAACACAACTGTAACCATTTCGGGCACGGCTGGGCCTACATACTATGATAACTGAAAGTGATCGAAGTCAACTCTCCCTCCACCCCCACCATTCACAATGGAAAGCTTTAGTGAGCAGGTTTTACACTGCTTTTCTTGCTCCAGTCTGGCCTAAAAGCTGCCTCACCCAAAGCAATTTTAAAAAAGGAACGCCCTCCTTGCTTCCAGGGTCTCTTTGGCCCTCTCCTGGCCCTCCAGCTCCTACCTGGACCAGCCCTGTAGTGCAGGACAGGGATGGGGGCGTAGAGAGTTGCCTTCCTCTTAAGCTGTCTTTTCTGTTTCCCACCCCCAAGACTGGAGCCTTATCACCGGCTGTTCCTGTCTGATTTGCATATGCTTAATGAGTCACACTCTAATAAGGAAGCCCTGTTGAGCTAGGCTAGACATCAGCATGCGATGTGGGGGGCAGTTGATGGGTGGAGAGTCCAAGAAAAAGTGGGGCCGCCCCCTGAGTTGGGTCCTCTCATTAAATGAATAACATCCACCGAATTGTAGCCAAAGTGCATGTGTAACAGCGGTAGCTGCACATTAAGTCCATCACAGGCAACCATTTTGCTACCTTCCGTGTGGCAAAAATTCTCCTGACAAGACGATATACAAACGGTTATACATTTCCCAGGGTGCAGTTTGGTCATCTGTATCGGTGCCCTGCATCATCCTGTCAAAGGCTGAGGAGAATTTTACCACGCTTATTTATTTATTAGTTATATTAGTCACCTCATAAAACACATCCTCCAGGCAACGTGCAGCACCGTATTCTGCACCTGATCAGAAATCTGTGGGGAGCAGCTGTGGGGATGGTAGAGGAGGGCAAGGATTCCACTTGCAGCCAGGCAGTGTGGCACAGAGAGTTCCTGCCAACAGGCAAACTACTCTGAGGTGAGCTCTCTCTCACCTGGGTTAGTTTGATCACCTAACTCCACCAGAAAGGAGAATTTTTGCCATGCATGCGTTGGGAAACATGAAAGCTCACTGGAAGCTGCCACTGCAGCTGCCGTGCAACCTTGTGGGAGGGCCACCCCGCAGTATTCTGCCACCCGAGGCTGTTGCTTCACTCTGCCTCATGAGTGGGCTGGCCCTGCGCACTCATGTGTGTAGGGCTGGGGGCTCTGTGGCCCTCCAGATGTTGGCTGCTGAGTCGCACCAGCCGCAGGCATCTGCCACATTCATACCATACGGTTTAAGCACTTTAAGCGGTCACGGCTTCCCCCTAAGAATTCTGGCAAAAGTAGTTTGTTAAGGGTACTGAGAGTTGTTAGGAAACCCTCATTTCCCTCATGGAATGGCAGTTCCCAGAATTCCCTGTGAGGAGGAGTAGACTGTTAAACCACTCTGGAAATTGTAGCACTGTGAGGGAGCTAACAGACTCCTGTTCCTCTCACAGAGATACCATACCCAGAGTGGTTCAACCATCAATCCCTGTTCCCAGGGAAATCTGGAGACTGTAGTTCTGTAAGTACAGTAGAGGTCTCCTAACAATTCTTAGCACTATGGTTCCCAGGGTTCTTTGGGGGAAGCCATGATTGTTTAAAGTGGTATAATACTGCTTTAAATGTACAGTGTGGATGGGGTCAAATACACACCAAGATTCCCCAAACTCTCCTTCCTGCTCTGCCTTCCAGCACCCTTCAATTAGCCCCATGCTGAGAGAAATAAGCAAAGCATTCTGGGTAATAAGTGGGAAATGCAATAAAATGTTGCAGAGCAGAATGCTCTTGGTTCAGGGTTCCAGCCAGTCATGCCATTTCCCCAGATACTTGATTTCATCCCCACTCCAGTGGACGTTCAAAATTCTGTAGCTACCGAGCATGCTGTTCTGGGGTCTCTCCCCCAAAAAAACTACTTTTGCAAAGCACAAGATGCCTCCAAGCTGGGCCAATACCTCCCTTATTGCTGTTTTGGCTTCCTAGGGAATGGCACTCATGAGTTCACTATTAGTAGGTATGATAAGAATGTTATTGGCCGCTTCCAGGCAACCTTTTAAATGAGCATCTAGGCTGCTTTGTTTGCAGAAAGATTGGCCATGTTGGCTATTTAATAAGAACTCATCATGATTTGGTTGTGGGGAGATCAGATGACGTTTCATCAAGTGAGCGTTATCCCACATATTCCAGTGCATTTTCCTCATTTCTTCCATTTGGAGCAGGTCTGCTTGGGAGGGGTCAGTTTCTGAGAATCGTATGCGCACAGAACCAACTCCTTCTCCTTGGTTGGCCTACAATAACACTACCCCAATAGGCACATCAGAGGCATTGTTTTCAACCATGAAAACCCTCTTGAGCCTTCTCGGTCCACTGAAAGGATTTCCCACCTTTGAGGCAGTTGGTCAATGGCACAGTGAGGCAAGAGAAGGAGACAATGAACTTCCAGGAGTAATTTGTGAACCCAATGTGGCTGCTTGGTCAAACCACACTATGCCTTTCCTGGGTCCATCTCGGTGGCGATGGGGATGCTGCGGTACCATAGACACAGTGTAGGGACAGTGTGGTGGTAGCTTGCCAGCCTCTTTCTTGCAGGACACATCCTGAAAGATGTCATACTTAGCTGGGAGTTTGTCCTTGTTTGCTGTGAAAGGGGCAAGGTGTTTTCAGGGGAAGAAAGTGCAGTGGCTGCAGCAAACACATCCTCTGTTTTCTTGTAGTATTGCTGATAGAAGTGAAAATGCCTGGGACCGCTGCCCCCACGAGATGCACAAGTTGTGCTGAGTGCACCAGGGCAGCCCCCAGCATAATGGGAAAGCATGGTGGGGTTGCCAGGTAATATGTCAGCTCTTCTTGGGGGTCCAGCAACTTCAGGAGTAGCAGGTGCAGCATGATTGTG